CGCCGGCAATGAATACTCCGTCTACTCAGAAAAGCCCGGAAAGCAACAGTATCTTCAAAAGCAAAGTAAAGAAGTCAGCTGAAAATTTACACTAAAACACACAGCCTTAACAGTGTAAGGAATGGAAAAGTTTTTACAATGTGTCTTCACATCTTACTTTGTATATGTCTAGACCCTGGGCTTCTCAGAGTCTTGACAATGCCAAGAACAACTCTGGAGGGTCACTTAAAGATGCAGAAAGGGGAAGGGTACAGCTCAAGAGGCAGAACACGTGCTTAGCATGCACGAGGTCCTGGGTTCAATCCCCAGCACCTCCTCTAAAATAAATAAACCTACTTACTATCTACCTGCCCTCTATCCCCCCGAAAATGATGCAGAAAAAAAAGTAGTTCTATTAAAAATCTGTCTCTAATAGAAGTAAGCCGTTTTACAGAAGAAAAGTTTCAAAAGCAGAAACTTAAGTGAGCCTTCTTAGTCTCTAAGTACAAGAAAATTAAACTCCAACAGGTTCAGTAACAATCACACAGGTCAGGGGAACGAGACACGGGACGTGCAGGTTTTAACTTTTCTGAAGAAGCCGTTGGCATACTCTAGAGTCACAGACTAAAAAATCCTCATGCAGCTTTATTTAAGTGGAAAAAAGAACTAAAATCCATACACCTGCACATCTGGTAATCTTTAAACTAAGTGTGTGGATGAAGCAGAAAGCACACTGCTCTCCTGCAATGGGACAAGCGACACGAGGTGACTGAACTGAAGCCGGCGGGGGTGACCTAGGCCTGGGGAGGTTCTCACTGCCCTGCGCCACTGCCACCCGGACTCTCTGCTTCCCTTCACGCTGCATGAAAAATAACTACAGTTTCTCATTATTTGAATTCATACCAAACACTTTTCTTTTTTTTAAGCTGCGTTAAAACAAAAACGATGCCTTATTAAAGACCTGACATCTTTCCAACCTCAACAGGCGGAGTATCTCGATGTGGTACAGGGACATCTCAAAGCAGGTGCGTTCTTAGAGTCCACATGGGAACGCGGCCTTAGAAAACTCTCATCAAAAACCAGCCCCCACGAAGGTGACGGGCCGGGCGGCCAGGCCGGGAGGGCTGCGCAGTGGAGGCAGCGGGCCCTGCGGACGCTGCCCCTGCAGCTGAGCTGGGCTCCTGGGCAGCGTCTTTAGCCTCCAGAGAGCAAAGAGAGTACCAGGAAAACAGCACAACCATGAAAAACGAAGTCCAACTGTTTCCAAAAAGATCTGCTGTCTGAAAACCCCTAGTTCTGCGTTACCACCCTGAAGGTTTTGGTCTCCTCTCAGATTTATAGCGGAATGACTGAAACAGCAGCTCAGGAAAGCAGTTCTTGCCGCCTCGAGAAGCCTGGCGGGCGCCAGCACTCTGCGTGTTTATGAAAGAGGAAGAGAACGAGAGGGAAGAACACACACAAGTCCTGCTGACGTAAAGCAACCAGGCGCAGTGACACGGGCGATGAAGCGCAGCCCGGGGAGGCTTCCGCGCGGGGCGCACGGGGAGGAGCTGGGGCGGCCGGAGATGCACCTCCAAGGGGCGCTGGAGCGCGCGGCCCAGGGGCTGCCCAGGGCCCGCCACGTGCTACGTAACGTGAATAAGCACACTCCCTTCGGAAATTCATGGTAGCAAAAAAGTCCTTCATAAAAATTCAATATAGAAAAAAAGCAGCCTGTTGTTACTCAGGTAAATCGGAGCAGGAAACGTGCAGTGTAAATGAGACGAAAGCAGTTCAGGGCTGCCTTCGGGTCCCTGCTTTAATTCCTGAAATGGGATTTTCCCGTTGGCAGAGAGATGCTAAAAAAGCAACCACCTGTCTAGCTCTCCTGAAGACCATCACACCGAGTGTGCCTGTCACTCATCATCTGTGGGAGTTACACAGGACCCCTTCACTTAGTGGGTGCTCTGCAGGTTCATGAGACAAGCATTTAGACACCCTCAAAAGCTAAGGGTGATGATGTGAAACTGCCAATTTTCAAAAATTATACTGGTTAAGGGACAGTCAAGAGTGCCAAGGGCAGACTCTTTCATTGTGAAATAAATTTTAAAGGTTTTAGGGATTTTGTACTCAAGGTGAGCACGACCCGTGATTAGGACCTGCCCCCTGCTTCTCTGGGACGGCGTTACAGGCCACGCCGCTAGCACCGAATCTGACAGGTGCAATGCTTCCTCTCATCACTCAGCTCTTCAGAGTCTAACCACCCCCAAGGACAGAGGCGTCCTCGACCACAAGCCACAGTATACCCTGTGCGTGGTCCCGGCCTTCCACCGGGGTGGCTGAGTCCTCCATGACTTCGTCCTTTTCCTCAAGCTGCAGTCCTGCTGTCTTTTCATCCAACGCGTCTTTGTGATGAACAGGAGCTGGCTTCAAATGTTTTATTGGTAACTGATCTTCCAAATCCCCCTCAGCCTTCAAGAGTCCGTCTGCTACTGGCTTTCCCACATTTTCCTTTCTGAGCGGGGCAGAAGCCGCCTCCCCGTCAGGTGCTGGTACTTGACTTTCCCCACGTCGCCCTCTGGCCCCAGGAGGAGATGCCTGCAGCTGTGTTCCTGCTCTGGTTTCTGCCGATGGGGTGGGCGCTGGGTCGCCGTCCGGTCGTGTGGAAAATCCTGATTTTGTATGGTCAGATGAGACTTTTTTAACTTCAGCTGCCTTCTGGCTTCCTTTATCGATGTCATTTGCTCTAGCTGCTCTGTGCAATTGTTTTTCTTTTCCACTTTGCTTTGTAAACTCTTCACCCTCTTGTGACGTGGGTGCCGTGGTTTTTGGTTTGGTGTCCTTCCTGTCCTCTACAGGCTTCCTGGAGGCCCCTTTCTTCTTTGCCTGGCGGGGCCTCTCTGGAGAGCTGAGGTCTGCATGTGGCTGCTGTGACACCCCAATTTGGGGGGCTCCATTTGCAATGGAACGGGGGGCCTCTGCTTTGGGGAACCCTCCTCTGCCTTTGCTCTTCACTGGACGGTCAGCTCCTGGGCTGTCACCCTCCTCGTCGGACTCCGAGTCAGAGGAGCTGGACGAGGACGAGGATGAGCCACCTGTCGCTCTCCTGCTCCCTGGGACTGCGTCTGAACCAGAACCCTGGTTTCTGGATGGCGGCAGAGCTTTCTGAGGAAACTCTACCAAAGTCTTTCTTGACAAACACTTCGGAAGCCCTTCCTCTGGGACCAGCAGGCTGTCACCGGGGTTGGGGTTAGCTACCGTCCTGCCTCCGTTCACAACTGACCGGGAGGAACTGGGCGGAGATAAGTTTTTAGACAGTTCAGCTGCTGGTGGGGTGGCTAGTGGCTTCCCCCTCTCCTTTGGTTCCACTACATCTAGGAAATGGCATAAAGAGGAATATTATTTTTAATATTTAGTAAAACCATATAAATTCATCAAGGTCAGACATTTCATGACACATCACCTTGTTATGATAATATCTTCAACATAATCATCTTGGGAACTGTTTCATGGAAACCCAATCCTACCATGCAAGCCAAGCCACACGAGAGACAGAGCCATAAGAAATGTAGATTTTTTTTGGTAGCTGAAAAGTTTTTAAATGGGGCTTTTTACCAACAGAAGTAACAAACTTGTCTCCATGTTTCACAGTGAGTTTCTTGATAATTATTTTTTAAACTACTATTTCATCTACATTTAAGGGAGTTAAACTATAAAGATATTTGCAGATGAAGGTTTAAAAATGTAAAAAATTTTAAATCTCTAAAAAATTTGGTGCATCTCAAATATTTTAAAAGTTACCCATATTGTATGAACTTGAACTTTCCGAACAAAACAGCAAAGCAAAAGTAGAGACAAGAGCCTGGTTTGGGTCTGGGGTGTGCGTACGCACGAGTTTAAGAGTGGGGAGTCGGCGGGGGGATCACGTGGTTCAAATGAAGCTGCCCTGGGAGTGGAAAAGTCCTTCAAAATCACGTCATTTCGGGATTTCTTCTGCCCAAGAAAAGTATTACAAGATCAAAAAAGTCTAAAATACTTAAGTACCATATATATCACTGGAAACAAGTTTTAAAACTGTTAAATAAAGTGCTTGGTAGCTCACAGCGAAAAAAATGTGACAATGAATGTATGTTCACGTACAAGTGAAAAACTGTGCTCCGCACTGGAATTTTACACAACATTGTACATGACAGTAACTCAGTAAAAAATGTTTAAAAAATACTTTGGGGACAAAACAACATAAAAAGAGTAATAAGCTGGAGTTTCCCTTGCCCTTTATGGATTCAAAATGGCCGGCCAGTGTAAGTAAATATAAATATAATATATAAAAAGTAAAAAAAAACTAAAAAAAGTGCTAATAGAGAATTCTTATTTTGCAGTCAATTATGAAAAAAAATGAAATCCCACAGCATATTCAATAAAGTGAATGTCATTCAATTTTCTCAATTTTTAACCATACAGAAGAAAAATATAGGACAAGGTTTTATAAATTAAAATGACTTCTCAAATCTAAAGCAAAATCTAAAAAAAAATTACAGATGAGCAAATTCTAAATCCAGTGTTTATTTTCAAATCTAGGAGTTTATTTTACACTAAAAGGATCTCAACCCTACTTCTTTAAAGTGGAAAAACTGTATTCCTAACTTTGCCATCTTACCAGTGTTCAAAAGTTTCTAACTGTTTTCTGAGCTCAAGGACTTTATATCTTTGTCTGTCTGTCCGTCTGCCTATCTATCTATCTGGATATGGAGATACATATATATATCTATATATATCACAGGATGATGGAAAATGATAAAAGAAAACTAAGGAACAACCAAAAGTCAGAAATGAGCCAGAGAAAAGGATATGACTGAACAGCTAGAGCAGTGCGTGACTATTTACACCACCTCCTCCACCCCCACCATCGCCTCCATGCCATGTCGGACTCCGTGGCCATGTGTCACCTAAGAATCTGCCTTCTGACTGCAGGAGCAGAGCTCAGACGAGAGCTCCAGAATCATGTTAAACATTAAAACAAGGCACCACTTGACCTCTCCCTTTCCTGTGTCTCTCGAAACCACACCTGATACAGCTCAGGAATTCCTACAGGCAGCGTAGAAGATAAGCTGGCCTCCAAACCCTGCTCACCTGTCTCATTAATCCACTTTTATGTTGGGCATGAATTTTCCAAGTGTGAAAAATTAACTTAAAATAAGACTTACTTTACAGAGGCTGTGTTGAATAGAAAAAACTGTAATGCCTCAATCTTCCAAAATTTATTGTGGAGACTTTTTAAACTGTAAGTATGTTATCAAAACAACATTACAGGTGGATTTATCACCTACCGAAAATGGAAAGAACACTTCAAATGGTATAATTTAGAAATTTCGTCTGAAAAGGAAACTTCTGTTGACCATACGAAGTAAGAATGCTTTGAAGTATCTTTTATTCAGGTGAAGTTTTGGGAGAAGTCCACAGAGAGGCTAATAAAGTCGAGTCACGCATTTTGCTTTTGGGAGCCAACTTCAGACCCGCCCCAGCACAGACCCGGAGTCCTCTTTGGGACTCAGAGGAAGCTTGCCATGATGATCTGTGGCTGCTACCCCTGTACCCAAGTGCCGGGTGGACACCACGCCTGCATCAACAGGTCAGATGGTGTCACCTGGAGGACAGACTACCATGCAGAGAACACGGCCCTTACTCTGAGTGTGACTGTACCCGCTTGTTGTCATGAAATCTCTGACATCTGTCTAGAGGCAGGATGCCTTCTACTCTGACAGTGTTTTAGTTTGAGTGTGACTTTCCTTGAAGATCGAGATAAACAAATTTAAATGACCCTAAAGACAGCAGAGATAATTCAATAAAAACAAAAACAAAAACAAAAACAAAAACTGGGGGAAAAAAAAGGATAAATACCTGGAAACATAAAGCTACCTAAATAACACTAGCAAAGGAGACCCACCTCCCAGCACCAGGTGGGGACTTCCGGGGACTATTTCTAGCCCTCAGAGCCCATAACAGCCCATGTAAATAAAGGTCTATGAACACCAGTGATGCGCAGAGAGGAGCTCTCCTGTTGCTTCTCTACCTGCTCTCAAAACAGAAATTAAATTCCCTGAATTTCTTCTCTGCTTTTTGAAAAGCAAGGGAAGGCATGACCTTCAACTCCTTTGCTGTCTCCTCTTGAAACAAAAATGACTGGTGTTTGAAATAGATCAGCAACCACAAAATACTTCCACGTCGCCAATGAGTCACAGAATTAATTTCAGAAACAAAGCACATTCAGGTCAGAATCAAAGGTGCATTTCAACAAGCTGTGAAAGAATACAGTTATCCAAATTTTATATGGTAATTAAAACTTTTTTTTACATGTGTTTGACTATAAAAATTTGTGTTTTGTTTTTGCTTTTGTTTAATGAACACATGAGGATTGAGATTTTTTTCAGAGGAAAGACAGCACACTGATTATAAACTGCACTTGTGGGGCCTTCCTGCCTGGGCCCGAATCCGGGCTCCACTACTGACACCTGTGTGACCTTGGGCAGTTCAGAAGTGCCCTGCCCCCAACTGTCTCCTCTGTGACATGGGGATACTGAGAGCGCCTGCTCACAGGGCTGTGGAGACCAGATGGGGTCATCAGCATGGAGAGCTTAAACAGTGCCCAGCACTGCTGGTTACAAATAAATACATCAAACTCCTATTTCCAAGGAGTCCTCACTTTCCAGACTGAAATAAGGATGTGAAATAGATAATTAACTTTGGCTTTTTGGCAGATTCTTTAAAAACCGACACAGGAATTACTCAGTCAATGACTTATTACTGACTGCCGCAGAAGTCAGCCTAGTGACTGAATCCACCTGAACACCAAAGCTGGCTAGCCAGGCAGTTCTATGGGAAGGGGTGCCCACAAGAGGCCCCCAGGTTCTGATGGCTGTGCCCACAGTGCTGGCTGCTCTCCTCAGGAAGGAAGGCGGAGCCCTGGATGGAACGAGGGGGAACGTGCTCTGTAACCCCAGGTGCAGGCCCTCTGGCCAAGAGTGCATGCTTAGGGCCCCGTCTGCAGGCAGGAATCTTCCCTAGAGCCTCCAAGGCCACCTGCAGCTGATGGGGTTCATCTGGCCATGTGCCACTGGTGGTTGAAAAGCATGTCTGTATCCTACACTCACAAATCTCTGACACTTCTGGGGAAACACTGAGGCCACATGTGTACCTTACACTCACGGATTTCTGACACTTCTGGGGAAAACACTGAGGCCACGTGTGTACCTTACACTCACGGATCTCTGACACTTCTGGGGAACACCGAGGCCACGCGTGTCCCTTACACTCATGGATCTGACACTTACGGGGAAACAACTGAGGTCACCCATGCTGACTTAGATGCATTCTTTCTTTTTCTTCACGCAGGGATTATAATTATTTTTTAAATTATAAGATACAAATGTAATGTGCATTAAAGACAGTGTAGTTCTGAAAACCGTCTTCCCACCTGACAGCACCCTGATATACACGGCAGACACACACGGCACACGTCAACCTCATTAAGACTGGCATGCTGCTCCCACCGGGCCTGAACAAACTCGGAGGCCTGCAAGGCCTGCCACATCCAGAGGCAAAAGCCACAGGAGCCCAAGGCCAACTCCTAGCTCAGTGTTCCCTTCTCATACCCACACCCCAAATCCTCACGGGATGAAGTCCTCCGTTTCTACTACATACAGAAGCACATTTCTAAAAAGGGGGATCTTTGGAAAAAAGAGTCTTTAAGCCTAAGATACCTATTTGAAAACATACAGGTTAAGATGAAGGAAGAACAGCAAGTTTAACAACGAGGCAGGTATAGGACAGAACACAACAACGTTCCTGCTGGATTTGGGCCGCTGGGGCTCGGGCAGCAGACATTGCGGCAGGGGTCGGGGGGATCCTCAGCCCAGATCGATGGCGTGTGAAATGCAGCTGGGGGCCGGTATTTTATAACCTAACCAAGTTTGTGTGTGCAGACAAAGGAGGGACAAAAGTATCTACACACTCTCAAACATTCAAACTAAGGAAATTATATTTTGATGAAAATAAGACAAACTCAAATTATCATTCTAAGCCCCAAAGGGTCAGCAAGGGGAAGTTATCTACCATGTACGTACTTTAAGAGTTAATGAAGGTTTCACCAATTAAGACTAAATGCAATAAACCTGGATGATAATCAATTGTTAATAATGAGCAGGGAGTAGAAAATATCATCCCGGAAGTATCTAAAATACATGCTGCATTTCCTATTTTCCTTCCAAGAGGATATGCTACCTGGATTCAGGGCAGGGAGCGGGGGGATTAAGTCTAAATTTTTGATGAAAAAAAAAGTCAAAATGACTGTAGAAAGAGCTGGAAATAGACTGGACATCATGTTTCATCCAAGTGATTCACAAGGGAAATTGGTGCCTACCCGCAGCCCCCTCTCCATGGCCTTAAAGGGCCACCTGCAATCCTGCACCGCGGCTGAGCAAAGCCTGCGAAACCACAGATATGCCTCAGAGACACTGAAGAAAGTCACCATCAGGCAAGACAAGCAAGGTGGGTTCACAGCTGCCCCCAGGAGCGTGGGACCCATATCACGGCCATCAAGCCCCACTGAGCCTGTAGACTCTGTCTCCTGCTGCTGCAGGTTTAGAAAATTCAGACAGAAACAGTCCAGGGCTAAATGATGAGCCAAAGACTGTTACGTTGCTGCTCTGTTAGGTCTAAAACTGGTTACAGATCTTCAGTTTGATTATAACCTGGACACGGTAGGGAATGAAGAAGTCCAATTACGTAGTCAGTAAAACCCTTTTCACACTTGGGAAGCTGATTTATTTGCTCTGCACTCTCTCTCATTTATAACTACCATTCAAACCTTACTTTTTGGTGGACTTTGCTTCTTGGGATTTGGTGGCAGTCCCTTTTCATTCTTTCCTGATTCTGCAGAGAGAGAAACTGTAGCAGCAAGTCCTCGAAACACTCGGGCTTCTAGCACGCTCTGACAAAAGATGGAACAGATACGGATGTTTAAGAGTCACATCCTTTGTAGCAGCCATTACAATGTGAATACCAAGTGTTATCGCGACATATCTTTTGCAAATGCTTTGCATTCATATGACAAATTTCTGATGGTTATTACAATTTACATACTATACATTTATGGAAATTTTTTGAAAATACAAAAAAAGCTGCAAGAAGAAAAACACCTGAATTCAAGGACAGTCACTATGAACATTTAGGCATTGCCCCAATCAGACTTTCTTCTGAGGATCCTTTTTGTAGTCTCCAGTTACCTACCGACCTACAAAATACTGATTCCTTTTGTAAAATATTTTCCTGTACTTTGGATATAAAGTGGAAGACGCACTACCTAGCCATTAAAAATGACGTAGACGAACAGTTGCTTCAAAACTGTCTACAATATACCGGACAGGTAAAACACTGTATAAAGCGCTAATTTACTCAGGATGTATTTACTAAGGCCTACTACGTGCCCCACACTGTTCCAGATGCTGGACTGCGAACAAAAGTGCCAACAGCACGCATATGAAGGTGACACATTTGTTTTTTTTATAGCTATGACGTAAGCATGTGTGTACACGTACATAGGAAAGCTAAACTCATTCGGGACTAGATATGAAGCAGTTAATAGTGGACGCTGACAATAAATCCCCCTCCATCTGTACTTCATTTTGCAACGAATAGAGTAGTTGCTGCTCTTGTAATAAAGGCCACTTTTAATTTTAAATATAGTAAAGAGGACTTAGATTTTTCTATATGGAGAAAGAAAGCCCTTCTGGCTTCTTGGCGGCTGCCAGGTGAGTTACTGGGTCACCAGGGACCCGAGAGTTCCCTCATTTCTCTTGGGTTAAATAAGAAATAAAAAAACTCTGTCCTTTCGGTTCTAACAGGGCTCGGCGCGGGACAGCTGCGGCCCCCGCACCTGTCCGCGGCCTGGACCGCACACCGGAGGCTCCCTGGTAATGCGGGTCCAGCGGGGCCGGGGGGCGCCGAGGTCGGGGTCGCTGTCGCCGGGACCCTCGCCGGCCCCGGCCC